AATGCATAATAATGCATCTGACAGTATAAATTTATTTTATCTTAATGCTTAATTTGATTATATACATGCTTGCATGTAGAAATGCTTACTATTTTATATTTTACAAAATATGTCCAGATAGAATATAAAAATCTAAAAAGTTATCAGATAACATTATTTATATTATTTTTTATTTTCATAATTATAATTATAATTGTTATTATTTTTATATGGAGAATAATAAAAGTTGATTTGTAAGAAAATATCTAGTTTTATTGAAAAAAATGACTTCTTGAGCAAAATAATCATCATTAATATTATTGTTCTATGTCTTCAAAATTAAACAAATCTTATGTAGAATATTTTTTAAACAGTACATTGTACAATATTGTTTTGAATACTGCAATTTTAATTTAAGTATGTAAACTAATTATTAATAATTATTTTATCAGGTTTAATTCATTCCATGGGCTTGACCTGTCGTAGCAATCATCGTGCAGAGGAAGATGCCACAACAGTTCGTTTCCTCAAAGAGGCTGGTGCAATTTTAATTGCTACGTCTAATGTTCCCGAACTTAATTTATGGACTGAATCGAGAAATAATTTATATGGACAAACAAATAACCCTTATAATACTACTAGAACTGTTGGGGGCAGCAGCGGGGGAGAAGCGGCCATAGTAACAGCATGTGGCGCTCCATTCTCCATCAGTAGTGATATAGGAGGCTCCATAAGATTGCCAGCATTCTTTAACGGATTGTTCGGCCACAAGCCTAGTGAAGGTTAATTTTCTATTAAAATTATTGCTTCTGCAATTCCAAAATTTAAATAATAATATATTTTTTGAGAAAAAATAGATAAATATGTAAAATATTTTCATAATAAAATGTGAAACTTTCAAATTTTATTAGGATTGACTCCAATGGCTGGAATCGGATTGCGCGACAAAGATTATCCAGATACCATGGCGACAGTTGGACCACTCTGTAAAAAAGCTGAAGATCTAATTCCCTTTTTAAAGGTACTGATCGGTCCTAATGTATTTAAATTAAAGCTAGATGAACCAGTGAATTTAAAAAATCTGAAAGTATTCTATCAAGAGAGTTCTGGCGATTTAAGAGTAAGCAAAGTAAACAAGACCATGCGAGCTACATTATTAAAAGCAGTTCAACATTTTAGAGAAATAACAGGCTCTGCAACAAAGGTAAAACACTATAGATTTTGTTATTTAATTTTATTAAGATAAAAATAATTTTTTAAGATAAAGAATTTATTACATTTTCTTTTTTTCTCTTTTTTTTTCTGTCTTGTAAAAATTGATTTATTTTAACATTTGGTTAGAAAAGTTTTATTTTTAAATATCAAATGAAATTTGAAGATTTACACAGAAATTATTGTTTATTGTAGATTAAGATACCAGGTTCTGAATATAGTTTTAAATTGTGGAGATATGGCATGAGTTGCGAAAATTTCAATTTCAAGTTGGCCATAACAGATCAAAGGGTAAGGATGAAATTTTAAACTATATAATATAAAACTATATAATTATGCTGTAAAACAGCAGAATTTACTAGCAATTACAATAAAATTTTGTATTAGTAATACTTAAGTTTAACATTATACAATTCATATTTTCATTTAAGCATTTCCATTTGTAACATTTAAATATAATTTAACTTTTGATTCAAAAATATTCACTTTGCAGTATGTCGCTAGTGCATGTGGAGAAATTTACAATTTACTCACTGGAAACTCACAATTGACGTTGGCTGCTATTTTAAAACTGATAGAGGAGGATTTCTTTCCACGGGAGAATGCTGAATGGGCAAAAAGTACCATTGCAAAAGCAAAAGAATTTTTAACGGTAATTATTATAAAAAAAGGATCAGATATATAAGGTATAACTTAAATAACTCCTACTAATTATATAGCGTTATTCTTTATAAAAAAAAACTATGTTGAAAAATCCTAAATCTTTTTTCTATAATATTTAATAAAATAATTACTGAATAAAGTTAATCCAATTAGTGTCCTTTAGACGTTTATCAGTGAGCTGTAGATTATAAACTGTACATTTACCTCACGCACATTTACCAGGTATACAGATCATGACGTGTATCTATCTAAAGAGCGATGCTGATTGGATTAGCTCTCCTCATACTCAATACTTACTGCTTTATTAAGCATTATAGAAAAAAATAGTTTAAGATTTTTTGGCTTATTTTTTTACAAGGAATAACGGTATATAATAAATAATATTTAAATTATTATACCTTGTATAAAATATAGAAAAAAAAATTCAAAAATTGAAAAATATATTCTTTAGCTAATTTTTGTCTAAATTTCTATATGTATCACTTCATGTTTATTGTGGATATTCTTTTGTAGGAGAAATTAAGTGACAACGGAGTGTTATTTTATCCCTCAGCACCATTTCCTGCTAGTTATCATTATACTGCACTTCTGAGACCTTTCAATTTCAGCTATTGGGCTCTGTTCAATGTTTTGCGATTTCCAACTTGTCAAGTGCCACTGGGCTTGAGTGAACAGGGTTTGCCAATTGGGATTCAGGTATTAGATTGCTACATATGGCATTTGTTTGTATTGTATATTCTATTACATATTTGGAATTTTATATATATATATATATATATATATATATATATATATTATATATTATTATATATTATTATTATTATATATTA